TAGGGAGAACTGGACCTGCTGAAGTATTTTGTATTATTATATCACCATACGGTTCCAATATGAAAAAACCCAACAAACCCCTCACTTTTTAATAATGCTATTTTTAACACAAATAGCTGATGTTTATACCTGCAGGAGAACGTATTGACATTGGGCTCTATATTCAAACAGTTTGTCCATTTATCAAGAAACTTCCTAAAAATCTCAAACCTCCAGGTAAGTTAGCATCCACAAATAAAACTTCCCACCGTAAAATATATTACTATTACAGAGCTTTAGCATTCTGGCCCTCCCGAGCCTGGAACACAGCAGAAGACTGCTGCTATCTCACAGCTGTGCAGTTTATCATCACGTGTATTCAAATATCTCATTTTCTCAAGAGAAATCTATTAGTTTGAAACCTCCTATAGCTTAATTGACTACTAAAAAAGAAAAAGAAATACGTGACTAAAGCAACCAGTGGAACTGTGTGGTTACAAGCTATACTTTCAAGACTATATTAGAAAAAATGGACATAGTGATGAAATTCTAGCGTTCCAGGAAGGCTCTTTCAGCATCGTGTTGGTCCTTTCTTTCAGACAGCTCTAAGTCTTTCTAAAGCCTCAAACTTCTGCTAACTCTGTTCTCTTTCTGAGACAGTCCATCTCCACTCTACTCACCCACATACATAGAAGTAACCTCTCTCTTTCAGCAGGACTCTGGCAATTTCCTTTGCATAAAGCCTAATGACATCTTGCACATATTTAGGCGGGGCTACTTCTGCAGTTGAAGAGTCTCTTGAGAAACAAACCTTAAGATGAGTTAATGTGCCATTTTCAAGAAAACATCTGAGCTCATCTCTGAAAGGCAATAAAAACTGTTAGTAATGGCTCAGAGATAAGCACTCCCTCACGAGTAGAAAATGAATGCTAAAGAGTGAACTTGCTTGAACAAATAGTCTCGATCCTGATGCCGACAACCAAAAACCAGCCATGTCTCTCCAAATTCCCAGTCTGTATGTTCTTCTCTCAGCTTTTGCCTAACCAGACAAAAAAAAAAAAAATCCAATCCTGTTTTATCAAGTGCAGAATCTAAAACGTCTCTAACCTAATTCTCATTTAAAGTAGTGCTTTAATAAACCTCTGGATTGGCAGAAATGTGAAACGACTTAAGGTAAATCAGTCAAACCCTCATTCTTTGATTTTCTTGACTACTCACTTTTGGCCCAGCTCAAAATCAATCAACTTCAAAGGGTGGGGTTTTTTTGTCACAGTTTCATATTGGAAAAGTCAACACTGACACTTCCAAACATCTCACAAAACAATCCTGACTGCTCAATAAGGATATCATTACCCTTTATCCCTCATTGGAAGCCTGGGAAAAACACCTGGGAAAACTCAGCACAAAGCAGTTTTAGCATGCTTTCCATTTAGCTGTAGAAACCTGCTAGACTTTATGAATAACAATCTATTTACTACCACATCATCAGAAGAGTTACTGCATTTTCTTCAAATAATGCTGAAGGTATTACTTTAAAGGGGTTTTAGCTGCAACTTTCTAGTTACATTCTGAGAGAGAGACTTCATTTGTCATTGATCAAATGCTTATTAAATGCTAGGAATCCTTTAAAATAAAATGCAAAATACTTCTGAGAGATAAAAGTATACTTGGGAGTTAAAATTAAGGAGTAAGGATTGTACATAATGATTTGGTTAAAGTGGAAGCATGGAGTCAGAAACATGTCAAAACTTCCCTTTTCTCACAAATAAAATGGTTTAAAAATAATTGTTACAGGATGCAAGAAACTCCATTATCTTGCTGGAACTAATGAGTCATGTAGGAATGATATGTGTCAGTTACCTATGAAACTTGCAACCACTCCCACCCAAATATTCCACTCTTCCCATTCTTTGTTTCCTCCAAATGATCATGTTTTTACATATTCTTGGTGATGTGGTATCTGTCACTTTTTGAACAAGCACCTCTTTGCCTTGCAAAATTACGCTGCTGGGGTAGGAGGGGAAAAAAAGGCATCTGCCTTCCCTCAAATACAAACCCACAAAACCCAAGACTACTGCCCAGTTGAGGGTTCATGTGCCAAACTCCTCATCTTAAAACATCAAAATGTGTAAACACACAGAAACAAGGGAATGTGGGAGAAAACTTGACATTCATCATGCCAAGGCTTTTAATATCGATGCCACTTCTGAAGGAAATGGATTTTGAATACCAAACTTAAGCCAATCAACCCTGTTTCTAAAAACTACCAACCTCTTACAGGACTTCCACTAGCAACACACAGATAAAAGATTTAATTATTACTGTTTCTGCAATTCACCCAATGCCTCATATATCCACTATGGATATTAAATACAGTCAGATGAAAGTGTAAGTTTTACTCATTTGAAAAACAAATAAATACACAAGCACTGCTTGTTTAAAATTAATAAGACTGTTTCTAATCAGCATACCACTGCTACAAAAAGTAAAAAGGGAAAAGAAAAAAAAAAAAGATTAACTGCATTTGCATTCAAAACCTGAGGCTGTATTTTCTTCAACATAAAAAGGCTGCTTTCCAGGTAACAACTTGGTACATACCTATGTTGTAGGAAACCAATAAATGGTGAAATTCCTGTTCCTGGACCAACCATCACGAATGGGACAGATGGGTCTGCAGGTAAGTGGAAATTATTGTTTGGACGAGCAAAAATAGATATCTAAAATGAAATTACATAGAATACAATTGAAGAATATTCTTAAGCAGTGAAAATACCATGAAATTTTTAGAACCTTCAGGATATTTACATAGCGTATGTGTCCACACACCCTTCCAAATCCTGAGCTTCAGAGTTTATTTTTAATGTCACACAGACATTTAGAATAAAATTTCACAAATTTCTGAAATAAAACACACCATATTTACAAACCTATTAATCCATCTGGAAGAAAACTAGGGAAAACCACACAAACACGAGTTTCTGAATATGAAAGTTGACTGCACCATAAATTTGGGGAATATTGTTACAGAATTAATGGAAAGTTTGGTGTCGGTACTCTAAGGGAAGTAAACCTAGTTTATTGCCATTTTAGGCTACTCAACCTTTTTTTACATTGTGGACATCTAAAAATATTCCAGTGGAGGTGAGGATTTGTTTATAGCGAATTGAAGCCTCCTGATACTGAACTTGCTTTCTTAAGTTTCATAAAAGTTTTACATGATCTCCAAAAATGCATATGGGTGAGGGGAGGCAGATAACTGCTCAAAGATCTTGGAAAATGGTTTGTATCATTCCACTGGTAAACTCTAATTCTGATCTTCAGATCTGTGTCTGAAAGCAAGACTAAATATAATTTTAATAGGAGCTCCACAACTATTCTCTGAGGCATGGCTAACACAATGTATAGAAAATGAGAGATGACTATTTAAAATTCTTTAAAAGATTATTCAAGTCTCGGCAGCAGCCATAGCAGAGCTTCATCCATTAAAGTCATAAGCAAACATCTGATTTATTTTGCATATTAATTATGAAAGGATTTGAATTTACTTTCAAGTGTAAGGAAGGAGTGAAGCACTAGACCAAGTTATTTAAACTTTGTTCTGTAAACCTGAGTGGTTTAGCACTACTCATTTCTTATCATTTAATTCACTACAGATACTACAAAGTTAAACAGGATTATTTTCCTGGTTTCACAATGATAAAAAAATAGTATAATTCTTGCCAGTGAGGGGCAATATTTGTATTTCTGTTACACTTACTACTTCAAACCACACCTGAGTTAGGAGGCTATTTTCCCTATTAATGATTCCGAAGTGGTCATTCCTTTAAAAAATACTGCAAATGGCACACACATTTATACTGTAAAGTGTCTTCAATTAATCTAAGGTATTTTTCCATAATATCACACTCATCTATTTTGTATTGGTATTCCACATATTTCTGCAATCTACATGTATTGCTGCACATTTATCTATGCCGAATTCTAGCTTGCACAGCAGATGCAAATAGTTCTGAACTTTATTCAGACTCATTTTGTAACAATCCTTTTTTTTTTTTTTAACTCCACCTCTTTTTCATGTTTGATCTTTAATATACTGCAAATCAATTATATTTTAAATAAAGAGCAGATGTGAATACTGGAATAAGATATATGATGAACATATTAATCAGTTTGTCTTTTGAGTTAGTTTTAAAAAATGAAGATAACTTGTATGGGTTTTCCTTCCATTTTGCCAGACCAATACCTTGAATTACTGGCACAGTTTTCTTGTAACCAAATTCTATGTTTGTTTCCATTTTTCTTAATCAAATATAGATTAGTCTGGCAGTAGAGCTTTTGTCATATTAATTATATAGTAGAATTCCAAATTTTTAATAATTAGCTTACACCTAATAACTTTGAGACCGATTAATTACATAAATTCTCTGCCACGAAAGGAAAAGAGGCAAAAAAAAAAAGCGCACCTTCTCCTAATAATACCCACCATGCCAAACCATCTTTGATGCACATCAGAAATACCACAGACGACTGTCCCCTGTGTCATATTCAATAACTTTGCCCTTGCAAACTGTGCGAGACCTGACAAGAAGTGAGTTTTACGATTTCTCCCCTATCATCTGCCACCCTTTCCTGGAAGTGACCAAGTGCCTCTCTCCTACAACACTAACAGTCATAACCATTTAATTGCACAGTGTTATTTTAGTCCATGAAAACATCCTCCAAGACTCGCTTAGGGCTACAGTGCGGTGGAAAACAACTTGGGCCTTTCAGCAAACGGAAGTTTCACAACTCAGGTAGCCAAAGATAAAGTAAAATATAAGTTTAGCAACTTAGCAATGAAGTTCTAGACAAGTTACAGAGAGAAGGGTAAACTTACAAGTAGGGTAGAACTGCAAAATGAAGGTGTATACTGCCAAAACAGCCGCATTACATCAGAGCAGTGAACAAAGAAACCTGCAGTTGTTTCAAACGTGCATAAATTTAACTGTTAAAGAGTTTAGATGTAATATTCATACCTTTTCAGTTGAAGAGCTTCCTCCTTTTGTATCCAGAGTGTTTTTATTGGGGTGCAGTAGAGGTGCAACTAACTCAGCAAGCCACCCTGTACATACTCCTTTCCGTGAGATTGGTCTAGCAGGACAGGCAGGGAACTCCACAATATTAAATACAAAACACAGTTTTCCTGGCTGATACAAGTTTGAACTGCAAAGACAAAAGTATAAAAAAAACCCCAACAAATCTGAGAGATAGCTATACAATCTTACAGCAGGTCCATTTAGTTAGAAAACATCTTAAGGTTGGACTCAGAGGCCAGTGCCTACAGAAGGGAATCCAAATTTCTACCTGTCCTGGTTTCGGCAGGAATAGAGTTAATTTCCTTCCTAGTAGCTGGCACAGTGCTGGGTTTTGGATTTAGGATGAGAATAATGTTGGTAACACACCGATGTTTTAGTTGTTGCTAGGTAGTGCTTACACTGGTCAAGGACTTTTCAGCTTCCCACGCTCTACCGACTGAGAAGGCTGGAGGTGCACAAGAAGCTGGGAGGGGGCACAGCCAGGACAGCTGACCCAAACTGGCCCAAGGGACATTCCATACCATGTGACGTCATGCTCAGTACATAAACTGGGGAAAGCTGGCCGGGGGGGCCGCTGCTCGGGGACTGGCTGGGCATCGGTCGGCGGGTGGTGAGCAATTGCATTGTGCATCATTTGCTTTGTATATTATTATTATTATTGCTACTACAGTATTATTATTATTATTTCAATTATTAAACTGTTTTTATCTCAACCCATGAGTTCTTCTCACTTCTACTCTTCCAATTCTTTCCCCCATCCCACCGGGGGGCAGGATGGTGGGGGGAAGTGAGCGAGCGGCTGTGTGGTGCTCAGTTGCTGACTGACTGAGGTTAAATCACGACACTACCAGATTCACACGTGTGTGAGCTTGTTCTTGAGAACTCTACCAAAGTCTTGCCAGACACTCAAAACAATGTTGTCTGAAATAGTCAAACCCTGTGTTTTTTTGCAACAGGGACACAATCACTTTTTCCTCAGGTTTTATCCTTCATTCCTCTCTTTCTTCTTTAGATTATAACGTACACACACATTTGAGACTAAAAAGCATACCTAAACTACCAAGGAGATATAATTTGAATATTTCATTACCTTGACACTGAATAGGATCTGGCTTGCAATTTAGGAAGATGTTCTGAAAAATTAAAATTTAAAAAAAAAAGCATCACTTATTATTTGATTCACCCCAATAAAAATATCATATAATGAGTGTTTACACTACAACAGGTTACAAGCATATTATAATTTAACTGTAATTTTACTCTATTAACATTCAGTGTTTGTGGTTCAGAAATAAGCTATTAAGACTTGAACTCTATTTTGAATGTTTTTTAGACTTTGTGGAACATTTGTTAGAGATCCTATAAAATGAGGCCACAACAGTTAATTTATGGGGTTCTTGGTCAATTAAAAACAACTGTAAGGTGCACAGAAGAGATGCCAGTAGCTAGTGGACAAGGTGAAGCCTGAAATTTAATTTTCCCCACCTTTCATCTAAGAGCGCAAAAGCTCTCAGTATAGGAATTGCTTGATTGAAAGTTTCCTATATATGATGTCCTAGAAGCAGATGTGCCAGTTCAATTTCAAACCACTATTGAGTACCTATGCAAATTTTTGAAATCACAGCTAAAAAAACCAAGAGACAGGAGTTTACTGGGCATTTTTCCAATGAGAAACACACATTTATATCTACGTATGTATGTACATATACCGAACAGGTCAAACTCACTGGTGCTTTCAAAAGAATGACTTGCATGCAGACTGCACATTTTAGCTGAGGAGAAGGGCATATTAAAAGAAGACAGATATATTGCTAAGTGGACAATGTGGTGGGGAATGGCGACAATAAGCGAGCAATACCAGAAAAAATGGGCATAGCAAATGCTGGAAACCATACAGTGGAGTAACAGCATAACATACAGTTTAACTGCTTTTTAGTTGTTTTTCCACATGTACCACCCTTTTGCAGATATTCTAACCAGTACATGGACACCCTGACATATTTTAAAGATGCTCTGCTACATAAGATAGTTGCAAGTCAGAGTTAAGAAAAGCTAGTTCAGTGAAATCACTTAAAGAAGACACTAAGCCCATTCAGCACATTACCTCCCTGGGGGAACACGTGTAGAAAACTCGCAAAATTTCTTTATTCAGTTCAGTTGCTACAGCATGTTCCATACCACGTTTGAAAAGCTAAGTGTTTTTGTTTTCACTGTGAGAATTCATGTATTTGTATAAAGTGGAGCCGAGCTTGTATTTATTTTTTAAAGCCCCACAGTGTACTAAGAAGGTGAGATTTGGGGTAGGCATGGAGAAGATGATTGCAAGAACATAAAAAGCAATTTTTTTGTTTCATATAATGAAATAAATTAAGAAATTCCGTTTTTTAATCTGGAAAATAACTGCCAGTATTTTCAGATGTATTTGAGATGGTTACAATCGGAGCCTCATTCCATCAATGTTTTATATATGGAACCCAGTGAGTGTGTTGGACATAACATAAATACAAATGTACTGGGGAAAGCTTTCTGTTTTAAGAGGTAAAAGTGCAAGAAAAGAACATGTAGGCAGGGAAATCAAGAGTTGTAAAAACATGTCTTTTTTAATTGTAAGTAGTTGATGAAATATTTCTTAAAGACCCTAATCCTGCAAACACCTTATGCTTACTTTTTTATGCACAGGAGCAATCCAGACTCAACTGAAGCATAGGTGTGTACCTCAGTGTTTGCAGAATGAAGGCCAAAGACTACAAACTGGAGAACAGAGCTTTGTTCCCCAACAATAGTTTTAGTTTAATCACTATGGATACTATAGTATTTCTAAAGCAGTCAACTGAACAGTTACTCCCCTTTCTTGGGAAATTGAACATTTAGTCTCATGCATTTTCAGAAACCAAATCTAATTGAATTTAAATCAGTCACTTACCAATTAACAGGTTAAGTGAAGGCTTGCAGCTTGGAAAAGCATGAAGTAAGTCCAGCAAGCAAACATTAGAATCTCTAACAAAGCGTGTGTAATCAGAGGCTCCTTGTCTGCTGCAAAGCTCTTGAAGCCTCCGTTTTTCTCCCGCATCACTGGTACATTCTACAAGAGCTCGCAAAAATGCCTGCGGGGAAGAAAGCAAGAGTGAAGGGTAAAAAAACTTGTCCATTTGGAAAAATGATCATAAATCTGGGAAAAACTTGGGATGCCTGGGGACAGGAAGCAGTCACCTGACAGGTTAATGGATAATACAATTTATTTCCCAATGCACACTTTCACCTACTATGAAAAATTTATATTTTTCTCTTTTTGGGTTTTTGTGGTTTTTTTGGCTGCTCCTCTAATGTCTGAGACAAGCTAGCAGGTCAGAAAATCCTACTTAGCCTGAGCAGGGGAGAGACAAATAAACAGGCACAACCCATTCCCTGGAAAATCCCAAATTTTTGAAAGGCTTTCTTATTCATGTATTTGCATTTTAGTTAAGTAAACAGCTCCATAACACAAATTAATTCAAGACAAAACACCATTTGCTAACTTACAGAAGCCAGGAAAGGAATAATAAAAAGTCTTAGAAGAGGTATTACTGTAAATAAAGTATGGTATTTAATGAGTCACGTAAATGTCGCTGTGATGTTTTATTCCATACTTTATGCCTACATAATGGTACGGCAAGCTTTTCTTAGGGGAAAATTAAATTAAGCATTAAAGTAAAAATCAGATGTAAATACAAAAGTTTTTTTTTCCAAAAGCAAGGTGGAAATAGACACAGTGCATAAAAGAAAAGTGATTCATGACACCAAGTGCAATCAGATGACATATTCTACACAACAGAATACTCGGAAAGTAATTTGAGTGTGTTCAAAGACTGAGCTTCCAGACAACAGTTTTGAGTACGGAGTTACATAAAGCACATTCTACACTGAACAGGTAATAAAGCAGGTAGATTATAAAAACTGGCTTGGGCAATATTCCCCAGCCAGCACTCTCTGCCTACTCTTATTGTTGAGACAAATTTTCAAAATTGTTAAATGCAGTTTTGAAAAGGTTGAAACAATTGGAAGATTCTTTTCTGCTGCAAAATCCACTAAGTTGAGTGAAAAGGTCCTTCTAAAACCTGATTTCCCTTAGAGACCCAACCAACACAACTGTTTAGCTTCATCATTCATACAAAGTTATCTTTATGATGTGTTTTGACAACAGCAGAAATACACATGCATTTCCAGCTGCAAGCTTCCGGTTTTTTGCAGACGCAGAATGAAAGGAAAATAATATTCACACATTGTGAGAACAAATACTATACAAGCAAAAATCTTTCTTTGAATTCTGCCAGGTTACTGAAATGCTAAAGAAAAGCTTTAAAATAATTTAGAAGACATTATGGTATGTTTGCATAGAGTAACATGCGTATTTTCAGTTACAAAACTTGACAGATATGGCTCCCTCTGATTAGAAAGAATGATTTCTCTAAAATGCTAGGGGGCCAGGTTCAGTCAGCCTTCCAGTTATCTGGCACCAAATATCTAATACTTTTCTATTTACTTCCAGACTAGCTATGAATCAAGGTATTGCAGAACAGGAATAGAGATTTCAGTATCTCCTAGTTTGCCAGATAAAGTACCAGAAGTTAAATTTCTCAGAATAAAGTACAAACAGCAGCATACAAACTGACAACCCTTATTCACCAAGAAACATGGTTAACTACACACAAAGAAAGGACAGATCTGTAAGAGCCCATACAGCATAGAATTACTAAGGGTTTCTCTTTAAAAGAACAAACACATAAACACCTTTTTGGGAATTGCTCTTATTTCCAGACACCAGGTTAGAATGAATTTCAGAGTGCTTCTTTCAGGGATGTGTTGTGGATGAGCTGCTCCTAGTTCAGTGGGAGAAAAAAAAACAAAACAAAACGTGCATCTATTAATATCCAAAAAATGGCATCACAGAGTGCTTGTTCCTTCAAGAAATACGAGAGCGCTAAACTGCATTCAATTCTGTACGTTTAAGCCCCAGCTTGTTAGTGGAAATTATAAACTAAACAGCAAGACAGTTTTCCAATGAAGTATCAATGACAATTTTCCAATGAAAAGTCAAAACAGCTCAGGAAAGCAGGAAACAAAGAGAGGGGTATAATACATGAGTGTTCAAATAAATTTTATTGCTAAACCACTCAAGGCTTTGTTGCCACTTTCCACCTTGAAGAAATTCAGAGGAATGCTTACTAGGAAAAGGAACATCCACATTTTTACCCCTCCATCAATAAGCACTCCCAAAAATTGGAACACGCTGAAGTTTTCTAATGATCTAACCAAAGGTGTACGCAGCCAGTACCAAGCTGGAGCTTCTGAGGCCGAGCAGATCCAAGGGGGTTCTGTACAAGCAAATAATCCCCCCTGTACTCTCTACAGGTTCCATTTCTGGGAAGGAGGTACACTGACATCCCATCTATCCCTTCATGGAGTCAGCTAGGGTGCAGCCAGGCTTATCAGCCTCATGCCATGTCATGCTAAAGCGGCTATTCTAAGTTAACTCCAAAAGCAATATAAGAGCATTTATATGACAAAACACCTTTAATTAATAAGCTCTGCAGGTCCCAAATTGTTTCTTTACAGACCCAACTTGCATGTTGGGATATCTCTTGACAATGTTTCTTGGCTTTGACATCTAGCTACTGATTCTTACTATGCTTTTTTCCATGCTCAAGAGCCCTTTAATACTACAGAATTTTCGCTCTAAGAATATACCTATGTAACTTGCTAAATTACCTCTTCGTATCAGCATTACTTGACTGAACCCTTGCTACAAAGAACAAAATTTACTTGTAGAAGATAAGAGGATTGGCATAAATATAATGCAGGAAAGAAGCATCCATTTTCACATTTATATAAACTTCCTTCTCTTGAACAGGCTGACAGCATGTTACAAGAAGTACTTAATCCTCTTCCTAGGATGCTCATACATACAATAAAAAAAACAACTACAGAAGTCCAGTATTTGAACAATAGACTTTGTACCAGACTGCCAATAATTTCTGTTTTGTCCTCTCAACTGATCTCATCTACTTCATCAAAGAATTCATAGACTGAACAAAGAGAGGTTGTGAACAAAATTCAGTGCAATTCCTGGTAAATCTTGAAGATGCAGCACAGGCACAGCCTGCTGTTCATGTTCTTCTCTTCTCCCACGTTTTTCAGCTCTTCTCATTCAGTGAACCCACCACCATAATAGTTTGTAGTAACTATTACAAATTCCTCAGAAATGTGAATGCAGTTAAGAGACAACCGTCTCGAAAGGAAAGCAACTCTGGAACATTGCTAGGAATTGCAAAGCTGCATTATAGAGCTGAATTCTTTGGTACAGATTAAGTTATAGTAACGTAATGATTCTCTGCTCACCAGCACAGCTCCAAAGAAATTAATTTGGCTTTGATCCTAAACCATTTAACTTCATAACTGCAGTGGATGGAAGTCAGTGTAGAAGCCATGATTGGAGATCAGTGGACCAGCAGCAACTTGCTAGGTCCTGGCCAAGTATCCAAGGCAAGTGTGAAAAGTCAGTATGATTTGCTCTGGGTCACCCAGAAGACTCAAGAGCAGAACCAAGAACTTTGATTCTCTGTGCTGCAATCCAGTGGTATGATCTTCCTTTCCATTATCATTCATTAATATTCACAAACAGGCATGCCATTTTACACACAAGATATGGCAAAATGTTGCATAAATAATGCGCAATTTCACCTTTTTTCCCCAATTAGTGCTACAATAGGCAGCCAGAGATGCAATAACCTGGATTATTTACACATAGGATGAGAGCATGGATATTCCAAGTTTCACTCAATTATTTTACCAACTTTGCCTTGGAAGGACAGTTTCTTTTGGTATACAAGAACAATCAAGGGGCTAAGCTATGTTCACTTGGCTAAACAGGCTCTGTTCCACATAGAAGGTGCTCTGACATGGATGAACTCAAAGTGCCCTTTTAAGGCAGCTTTACGTCCTTCCTGCAGTATCAGTATAGCACAAGAAAGGGAACTACTGTAGGCAGGAAGGAGACAATATCTCTCTGTGCCTATTCAAGGAGGCCTTCACTTTGAACATGCTGTTGACACTGTCTTTAACTTACAGAGAGAGATTCAAATTTTATGCAGCCAGGTAGCAGAGCTCTGATTTGCACAGAAAAACCTACTAGCCTTCAGGAGGGACAAAATTTCGAGCCCACCTTCCTATGAAGATCTGATACTTTTGGCTCTCCATTACCTCCTCCTTCGCTATATACTTCCCTTTTAATTGCTTCCTTTGTAAATGTGCTTGATTCTGTAACATCTGTAAATAGCATAAACTGTAGAAGTAGCATACCTGTGAAATCCCCCCACACCACCCAATCTCCTGTTGATTGCCTGTGCATGGTTGTTGGGCCCTGGACAGGGTGACACTGCCTTAAGCTTGAGGGTGCTCAGGACCAGCCCTGATCCAAAGGGAGATTGTTACAAAGCTGGGACCCTCCTGGGACCTTTCTTTGTTGTTTTTTTTTTTGGGGGGGGGCGGGGGGGGAAAATATTAAAGGAGGGGGAAGGTTTATTTTAGGGGAAGAAGCGGGTGTGTTTGGAGGGAGTCTGTCCCAGAGGAACAAGTACAATGGGGGTTCCCCGAGGGGCGCGTTACAGGGGGAGTGAGTTCAGCACAGTGGGGCTGGATAACAGCCAGACCAGCCCTGCAGACACAGGGCTCATCCCCAGCGCAGGGACCAGGCTGTAACTGATACTGGCTCTGCACCAAATCTAACCGGTGACCACTCCCAGCAGAGGTTAGTTACTGGAGTGGGGTTCAAGGTTGGGGATAAGCTGGGCCTGGACATCCCATATGATATGTTACAACATGGCCTGTCATGTAAACTCACCTCATTAACAAGTGAGTTACTCACCAATTCCAAGAACAGGGGTCCATTTACAGCTCATACTTAAGATACAATTTGTGCTGCCCTCAGTGATGCAGGGAATCTTGCCATGGGAACTGATTTACCGCTAGACTGGAACAACAAAGAGCCCTACCCCATTGTGCAGAACTACAAGCATAACTCAGCATCATCATTAAGACACCAATTGCAAGGCAAGAGAAGAGTAATTCTCACAGGTCCAGCTGGCAGTACATGGGCATACCTTGAACATGCAGCTACCCTTTCTGAGGTGTGGGATCATAAGACTCAGCAGAACAGATCCACATAGACCTACAAGCCCCTTAAAAGGCACCTTGCAGCAGCACTAAGTCTTCTGCTTCAGGAGTGTGGCCCTCTTAGGATGTAAAACAGATTGACGTGAAGTGCTGTTGAAGGAGAGATTTTACTTTCAAGTGGGGGATTGTTAGATTATGTGATTAAAGACTCACCTCCATAAACATGAAGGAGCACAGAGGAAGAATGAGATGGCTGAATGCCAATGCTAAGCTCAAATTCCCAGTCAGAAGCTAACTCATCTATAGTAAAACCAGCAGCAGCATTCTATGTAACCTCTCTTTTTTAACACATCTCTGTGACTTCCAACATGCCTCCATGAAATGACAGCTGTGTCCCAATACTAAAGATAAAAACGTTCAAAACTATGCATACCAACTACTACCAACACAGAAAGGAGTATTTGTTCATGACCAGTGCATCACACCATACCTTTCTTTTTAGTGCCCTCCTTAACCCTTATACAAACGAAGTACTCTCCTTTTTCAGAAAGTCCCAAGATGTGAAGAAGTTCTTCCACCTCATTGACATTGTTGGGACATATTACACAGAAGGCATCTCCAGGTTGGTAGTCAAAGACTGTATCCTGTTTTAAAATATGAGATCATTTCTTTTAAATTGTATCACAAATCAAGGCCAACAGCATCCCCATTCCTAACAACAATCTTCCTACTATCACAGTCACATGAAGTCATACGTTCTTTTATTCTGTACTAGCACTTCACTGTTTGGAGCACATCAGAAACTAAATACTCATGTTTTCTTTTCAGGTTTAACCTTACTAATTAGAAAATTCATTCCTTATCTGGTTTAAATATTTGGACACTCTTTAATAAGAACTGCTGAGCAGCCTAAACAGAAGGAAAAAAAATATGTACTAAGAGGATGTGTTATATAATCAGCCCAGATCATTAATTACTCATGTACTTTTGTTTTCTGGTTTGAGAAGAGCAGAGAAATGAAATCCTCATAATTAATGCAACTTTGTATAGAGATACATTATCACTAAAAGAAAATTTGCTGGTTAAACTATTTGACGAACCGTGACTGAAATGACCCCAACTGTTTTTATTTTCTGGAGGAAAAAAGAAAAATAGCAAGAGAAGAGCACAGTGAAAATTAAAAGGTATCTCAGATCTTAAGACCTAGATTCCACTTAGTTGGCTGAGGTTCTTGTACGCAACTGCTGAAACCCTACTCAAGCTTCTGCCTGTTATAGGAACACATGGAATTATACTTGCATCATTATGTTTCTCTTACGCATCAGGTGAGGTGACCTGCATACACAGACTGTTGAGAATGTTAGGAGAAATAGCCAAAAAATGTTCAAATTTTCAGTGAGTGCTGATGACAGGATACATGTATACATACAAATATATGCAAAAAACCATGTCATCTCAGAGACTCAGTTGCTCAAAACTTAAGACTCTATTTATAACTGAGATTTAAAGATGTCCCATGGATATTGACACAGATTAAGCTAAGAGTCCAATAAAAGTTACTGCCAAAATCACAATATCCCAAAGGCAATATTCTACAAATTTGGAAAACAACTCAAAAGCAACATATTTTCCTTTTAAAGATTTCTTGTAAAGTAATATCGAGCACTCTCTGCCTTTCATAGAATCATAGAATAGTTTGGGTTGGAAGGGACCTCTAAAGGCCATCTAGTCCAACCCCCCTGCCATGGGCAGGGACATCTTCAACTAGATCAGGTTGCTCAGAGCCCCGTCCAACCTGACCTTGAAGGTTTCCAGGGGTGGGGCATCCACCACCTCTCTGGGCAACCTGTGCCAGTGCTTCACCATCCTCAGCGTAAAAAATGTCTTCCTTATATCTAGTCTGAATCTACCCCCCTTTAGTTTAAAGCCATACCCCCTTGTCCTGTCGCAACAGGCCCTGCTAAAAAGTTTGCTGCCATCTTTTTTATAAGTCCCCTTTAAGTACTGACAGGCTGCAAGAAGGTCTCCCCAAAGCCTTCTCTTCTCTAGGCTGAACAACCCCAACCATCTTCATCTTCAAACCAGTATACAAAACATGATCTTCCCTGAATAAACTAAAACAGTTTTTACACCTAGGGTAACAGACGTTGACAGTTTGAGTAGTATGTTAACAAGTCAGAGCAAATGAATGCCAGAGGCAAAAACAGTGCTCAAGAGCTAACGATTCTTATCACTTGATCATACCAGTCAAATTATTACTTATGTAGATTACCTACCACAAGGCATAGTCACAATTTACTGTACAGTTTCTGAATATTCCCTAAGTTGTATACTTACTAACTGAGAGATTATTCATTTTCAATATTCCCTGCCTGCCCTTCTCCACTGCAAATGCCCTTCAAAAAGGTATTTTAGTCAATACAATATCCACGGAACAAAAAAGAAATTAATTTGACACTTTATTTCTGTTTTGACCTCCATTGAGTCATATCTTTCAGTGAACAAATCAAGCTTTGCATTTACAAAATGGATCAGCCTAAGCTGACATCCTGTTGTACAGGGAATTATTTTTTCTTTTTAAACAGTCAGATAAATAATTTTGCCCCAGTTATTATACATAACACACATGCTTTTCACCCTTTATTTTAACCCACTAAAGAAAAAGCCATCACTAACTTACTGCAATATCAAGTTCTAAGAGCAATGCAGTTTTTATCGCATCTTCTCTAGTGAGCTGAACTGCTTTTGTAACTGGCACTTCAAAGGTTGTTCCCTCTGAAATCAGTGAGGACAGATGTGGATTCTGAAAAAGAGGACACGAAAACCTACACTAAAAATGCAAATCAGCTGAATGACAGCTTACTATGACATGCAGGAATTAGCGCTGGTACAATTTTTTTGAAACAATCTTAGAAAACAATTCAAAACAATGAGGAAAAACATGAATCTTCTACATATAGAGAGTGTTTCCTCTACATTTTTAAAAATCACATCCAAGCAGTAACAGGCATATATTCAACTATAGAAAGTCAGTAGGTTTGAACAGCCTAATGGGCCTAAACTACCATCAAATGCAGCTAGCTGTTTCCTTTTTCAAGAGCTGCCTTGAAAATAGCCAATTAGAGAATGGCAATTATGTTAAAACCCAGAAAACTCCCACCTAATTAAAGGATTACTAGGTGTACAGAACGGACATGCAGCGCTACAGGCTTGGGGAAGAGTGGCTGGAAAGCTGCCCAGCAGAAAAGGACCTGGGGGTGCTGGTCGACAGCCGGCTGAACATGAGCCGGCAGTGCGCCCAGGCGGCCAAGAAGGCCAATGGCATCCTGGCCTGTATCAGAAATAGTGTGGCCAGCAGGAGTAGGGAAGTGATTGTCCCCCTGTACTCGGCACTGGTGAGGCCACACCTCGAATACTGTGTTCAGTTTTGGGCCCCTCACTACAAGAAGGACGTTGAGGTGCTGGAGCGTGTCCAGAGAAGGGCAACGAGGCTGGTGAGGGGTCTGGAGAACAAGTCTTATGAGGAGCCGCTGAGGGAACTGGGACTGTTCAGCCTGGAGAAAAGGAGGCTGAGGGGAGACCTCATCGCTCTCTACAACTACCTGAAAGGAGGTTGTAGCGAGGTGGGTGTCGGTCTCTTCTCCCAAGTAAATAGCAATAGGACAAGAGGAAATGGCCTCAAGTTGCGGCAGGGGAGGTTTAGATTGGACACGAGGAAAAATTTTTTTACTGAAAGAGTGGTGAAACATTGGAACAGGCTGCCCAGGGAAGTGGTTGAGTCCCCATCCCTGGAATTATTTAAAAGACGAGTAGATGAGGCACTTAGGCACATGGTTTAGTGGGCATGGTGGTGTTGGGTCGATGGTTGGACTCGATGATCTTAGAGGTCTTTTCCAACCTCAATGATTCTATGACTCTATGACATAAGAAATAAGAACAGAAGCTATTTTAAAACATCGTTGCAGATTTACAGATTAAGACTTTGGGGTGCAGATGGGGCTACTATTACGGGCAATTTATAAGAGGAATTTTAAAAACTACAGTTAAATTTACAGCTAACCAGCAAACTCCACACTACAAAACAGCATCATGTTATGCCACAACATTTCTACATAGGTGACAATGTGCCCCAAGAATTCTAAATGGGCACCAAGAATAATTCCAGATCACCTCTGTCAAAGGCTGTCACTTGAAGATCAGACTACAGCCCTCATTTCTCCATCACTATTGTCAGCAAGCTTCATTTGAGATCAATACAGACAAAAATGAAAAGAGGTGGGAGAGATACCAAATGTCCACAGCAATACTCTGTCAAATGGAAAGGAATTATTCTACCAATAAGAGAATATTGGTTAATCTGAAGATTTCCTATTTAAAAAAAAGGAGACAGGAGAATCACTTGAGACTGACAGTTGGAATTTTTATTATTCTCTTAAAATTCTGACATGGTGATTAACGGCTTGGGCCATAGCAAGTTATTGTGCATCAGCTGGACTATGATAACTGTCTACATTCATATTCCCTCCAAGTCAAGTTCAAGGCATAATGAGATCAGGATTTAAGCTAAATTGTATTATCCTACACTTGCCACAAAGGCTTAAGATGCAGACCGTTACTGCTCTGCTACTAATAAGCAGCAGCTTGTTAATTCAACCCTGAGACTCAACAGCACAGGATACAGATCATATAAGTAACTAGAGAGACCGTGTACCCAGCCTTCTTTAAACGGCAGGGAGTCTCTTTTTGGAGATATCCAAACCTCAAGTTGATGATTTCAAAACAAGCCAACTTCAGCTGTGCTTGGCAAAAAATATCCATGGTTGTTGCAATGTGAGATACTGGAAAAGGACGCGAATAGGATACTTGTAAAAACAAACATGACCCTACATGGGACCTACTTGTTGACAATGTCTGGCCAACTATGTAAGAAATAGTGCCAAAGGAAAAAAAAACCCAAACCTGCATTTGATTCTTTCCAAGGCTCAAGACAACTGTCCAGCTTCATACCTGAAATCCAGACTATAATCTTTAATCTGTCACTGAATGCCAGATTAGCAGATTCAGCTTTTTCAATTTGCTGTTCGAAAGCAAAATTTACTTTTTTTCTATTTACAGAAAAGTTAAGGCATCAATATTAGAACCTGACCAATTATTTCAGAGATCAGCCTGAATATATGCTATGATTTCAAAATAAGAAAATGGGCTCTTTTAACCGCTGTAGCACCACTTTCAACCCGAGTATTAGTCTTTAATTGAAGAGTACCTCTAAATAATAAATCTTTGCTTCAGTAATTTGGATTATTTAATTCAACAACCTGAGCAAAACCAACCACAATATGAGGTTTAAAAGAAAAGCAAAATTATCCAGTGTTTAAATTCATACACTCTTACATAATTGTATTAGCTCGACTAAGTGATTTGCTCAGCATTACCATTGCCACTCTCAACAGAGAGAGTGTCAGGGCCCTGAGGATACTAATGGGCTTTCATGGTCCTGACCAGCCCCACCAGAGGACTCCACCCCCACCTCTGCTCATGGGCCCAGGAGCCCCATCTCAGCTCAGCCATGGGTATTCAGTCCCTCCCTGAGCTACAACACAGGAGTACTGGTCGGCAGCTGAGCCACAACCATGCCCACGGCTGGCCACAGATGCTGTTGATCCAGGCCTGGATCTGCAGACCGACTTCCAGCTTGGTCCCAGACCTGCCTCATTCCCACAAACTTGTCTGATGATCTGCACTCTTGGCTGATCCTGGCTGCCATCTCCTGGTTTGCATTGCTTGGGTATCGGGGAACACGGCTGACTGTGTTACCACACTCAGCTCCTGGCACCCTGTCCCTTAAAGAGCAGCCAGTCCTCACTGGTCCCTCACACAGATAACCAAAACGTCTGCTCTCTGGCAGGCAACCAGAAAAGTTTGAGTCATGCTTTCCAGTTCATTTTGAACAGTAAATATACCAACTGGAGATGATTACCAGTTCACGCTAATTCTTCTCTTTGTAGAGCAGGTCTTAGTTCAACATGGCTTCACAGCAAAAGCATGCCGGCTTTCAATCTACAGTTCATCTTCTGTTTCCAATAGTAAAATTATGATCATGTTTTTACAATGACAAGTTTCTCTGCTATTAAATATGCAGCAAGATTTTGAGCAATTTTACACCCTGTTAAGGCATTCTGCAAGTACTAAAAATTTGAACAGAAATTGTACTATAATCCTTTCTACAGGAAGATGTTTTCACCATCCTAACATAAGCCACTGAGGACTTTAATTCTTCCATTCCTGGCACTGCAATGCCATTCCTTTATCAAATTATTATTTAACTAAATTATACTTTTACATCAGTGTCCATAACTCATATGGTGATAACTACATTGTCACAATATAAATGGACCTTCACTTACAATTCAAAAACCTCCTGCATTCAGGGACGTTATCTCCTTTATGTAAGTATTAACTTGCTCTTTTGAGCCGTATGTAGGAGTATACACTCATGCTGCTACCAGAGCTGGAGGCTTTCATCATTCAAAGTGAAGTCCTTACCTCACCATGGGTGTCCTGAAACTGCACCTCTATGTATTCTGGTGGCAAGGCAGGAATACTAAGAGCAGACTGAGAGACAGGCGGGACAGAATGAACAAGTGAAGGTTCAGTGTCTCTAGTTGAAGCCACAAGATGGATGTCAACCAGTTTTTGTGTCAGAACATCAGAACTCCTCACTCTTTCATCTTCTAGCTTCAAGTTCTGTACTTCTGAGCTTAAGTTTAGTTCATGCCCAACGTGCGGGGCTGCAGAGAGCGAGCTAGAAACAGTATCGCTGCTCATGCCTTCTTTTTCTTTCTGCAATAGAAATGCTTCCTTGAGGGCAAGCCAAAGTCCATCAATCCAAGGATCAACCACTAGTTCCAAACTGGGGAGGGAGGGGGGGGGAAAAAAAGGGAGAAAGGAATGGTTGACTTATTGTGACTTACTGGACAGTTAATTTACAAATAATGAAAAGACCACAAAAGCTAAAAACACTATTCATTTTCCATTTTTAATATATATCTGCAGCTGTTACCACGATGACTTTTTTGTCAAAAAAGTATTTTCATTTAGTTATTACCACTATGTAAATTTACAGAGTCTAAAGTGCATAACAGCCTCACTCTTCTTCCAGTTTCTCATTTTTATTTTCTTATGCTGAACTTTATGACAGGAAGTTGAAGGGATGGTAGCAAAATATGCAACTTTTCACTGTGCAACAGCAATATCAATAGCTTACACTAATGTTCCGTTTTTATTATTTTAGAACACAAGATATAAGTTTTATGGTTATGGCAATGTTTGTGTTCAATTGTCTCATATCATCATGCACAGAACCGATATAATATGCAGTTCAAAATAAATAAGCCAAGACTGCAGCCTACCGGCCAGAAAGAGCAACAAAACGGGAAGGGAGTTGTTTTCTTACATAATTCCTCTACAGCAATCAAAAAAACCTTCTTAAGTAATTCCTCTACAGTGATCCAAAAAAAAAAAAGGATGTTTTATGGAAGAGAGAAAAAAATTAAAAAACATTGTAGGGTTTGCCTAAAGCAGCTATACTGCAAGATGTGAGCTTGGATAAAAGCCTGATGTGTGTGTAGAAAGAGATCCCGTTACCCAGTACCACACATACTGGAAACTGGATTTTTTTTTATTTTCTGGAAACTGGATTTATTTTTATTTGCTTCAGTAAACAGACTACATTTTTAAACCCCTCCACTTATTCTGAATTACTTAATTTCAAAAACTGCTAAATACTCTCCATTTTTCCAGGCATTACAGATGTTTGCTCACACTTTAAAAATGGAGTTTTATTTAATGGCAGTTGAGATTGAAAAGGCATACTGCGTTCAGACAGGACTCATTCCTATGAGGTGCTGAGTATTCAGGTTCAACTGATTTCAAAGAGTTCAGAATGTTTAGCCAAATTCACATGTAATTATTGCATCTTGAAGAAATTAAATCCGAACTCATTCAGCGCTTACCCTACACAATCGTCTGCTAATCCTGTGTTGTAGAAGTGCTGGGCACCAAGTTCTTGAAGTCGTCGGTCTACTGTCTTTCCACCATTACAAAAGAATGTGTACTCTGAATCTCCCAGACCTAGCAAATTCAAGGAAAGAGGAATCATGTCAATCAGCCAGTCACCCATGCTACACAGAGAAAGATCTGCAAAGACAACACAGGATTTTCTTGCAGGCAAACAGAAGAATCTGATACAGCAAAGTGCATATTACCAGGACACTTTTATGACCTTCAGAAAAACCCCTGTGTTTTTCCCACAGCAGAGCTGAAAAAAGTGGTTCCTCCTTCACAAATGTAAGACACAGAATTTCTCTGAAAACACTTTGCTTTCAATATTTCACATTTCAGAAGAATGTTGTTTTAGTTTGAGGTTTTTAAAAAATACAAAACCACCCTTACAGGAAAAATGTAAGGAACTGAAATAATTAGAAAAAGTGAAACTGATAAACTGTATGTGAATTACTGAAAGAAATTATCTCGCCTTCAGGTTAAAATTGTTAATATATGTCAACAGCATAAGGGAGATAGTATTAAAAGTAATTAAAAAATATTGGAACCTTGAGGGGGGGAAAACAAAATCAAACACAGGAGTGATTTTAAACAATATGAAGTAAGAAATGTAGGAAAATGTGCATAAGGGAATCTGGTCCAACATCCTCCTCCCCAGGAATCAGAGATTTCTTTGTAGATCACATTTTCACTGCGCTGGGTTTTCTGTCCTTTAACAGTCGTGAAGATGTTCTGTTAGAAGAAGATGCTCTTTGTTATCAGTTAAACGGTCAGTGGACTCAGGAGGTATGAGGAGGAGGAGGACCTGGGATTTTAAGAGATCAACTAAACCACTGAACCACCCTAAAAGTGATCAACCATACATACCTCATCCTTAACAGATGCTTATCTAACAATCCCAAAGACCACTGGTTAGGCAGTCCTCACAAATTCTGTAAGTAATCTACACCACTGTTTCACTATCCTAACTCACAATTTTCACAGCCTGACCCCTTCTTGTGTGCAATTTCAAACCACTAGATCCTTATCATCCCCACCTAACAATGGACTATTCCTTTCTCCTTTATAACAGCCTTATTTTTCTTTTTCTTTTTTTTTTTTTAGAGTTCTGCTCCTTCTCAAGTATGGTACTTAGAGCGAACACTTCATTGGACAAGCTGAAATGGATACCATGAATGTATTATAAGACTGATAACTTTCTAGACTAGAACCACAAAACATGTTATAACTTAGATACTATAATAATATCTGTTACAACAAAAATCAGTATTAATATGATGCTTATCTTCATATATGCATTCAGTCAGCTATGAACTAACCATTTCACAAACTGTAATGTATAACTAGGCAACAGCATAACATCTTCTCAGAACGTTACATGATTAGGATGCATGTATTTCGGATTTCCACATTATATATCCACTAGAAATTTCCTTCTAGTGGGTACTTTCCTCACTAGAAATCTAGAAGTTTCCTCACTCCTACCTATCAACTTAAACTTGTCAGGCAAAAATAACCTAGGTTCAAATAGAAGTTTCTGGAGTTTGTTTAAACACAACCTGAAAACTCAACAAACTGACCTTACCATCAGCTCAAGATACCTCAGATGCCTTTTGCCAAATCTGTATTTTGCGTATCAATCTTTAACCTGAAGTTACATTCCTTCTACTGACGAGTATGACATTCAAAATTTTAAAAAAATATTGCAAATTTAAAGGATGGGATGATCTTAAAAACTTATTTTTAAAAAACATTTTATATTGCCTTTCCCTCTGTATAGAAAAATGCCCGATTACTCATAAAGTCAAGTAAACTCATCTAGTCCATAGAGACTTGACATGAAATTAAAACTTCAACAATTATAGATAGCTTATATCATATTTTGTTTATGCAAGGAAAATTAAACTGTAAAAAAATTAAATTGGTAGCTTACATTCAGATCATTTCTGTGATACTTTTCTTTTATTGCTCATAGAGGACATTACACAAAAAAGCTATTCATGTTATAAAAATAAATGTTTTATAAGCACTTAAAAAAACCCAAACAACTTATTCACAAGTAAAAAATATAAAAATTGTTCACCGACAGACAAGTGCTGCAATAAAATAGAGAATACTAAATCACCTAGCAATCCATACTGGAGATGGGCAAAATGATCAGGTGGCAAGGTCGTGTCTTGAATTTTCTTTACAAACTTGCGGGCAGCGTCTGGTGGGTCTCCAGTACCGGTAGTGGAAATAACAATAACTACAGGATCCTTTTCTGTTTCCAGGTTATACTACAAGTAATAGAACAAGTAAGTTACAAGGTGCCATTTGATACCTATTTGTGGCCTTAGATATTATCTTCCACCCTTCCTTTTCCCAAAGGTACACAGAAAAATGTTTAATCCCATTTTACCTGTATTAAACCACAGAAAGTCTTTCAAGTAATTACCAGTCATTTTGGGGATGCTACTTATAATCTTGGTTGGAGTTTTCAAGACCAGAATGGGTAAAGCCCTGAGGAACCTGCTCTGACCTCAGCTGACCCTGCTGTGAGATGATCTCATGAAGTCCCTTCCAACCTGAATTATCCTATGATCCCATACACAAATGCCGAAGGGCAGCATTTTGAGCAGGCTAGTACACAAGCGAACAATACTTCACAACTGCACTCAGACAGCTTAAATACACAACTACAGTATTTGCTTTGTCAAGTGGAAAAAGTATTTTTGTATATATGATCACAATCACACAGTTGGACATAATCCTGATAATTTCACACAGCTAACTGGGGCATGGCCGTACAAGCTGTGGGGATCATTTCTAAGTTCCATTAGGGATCATTTGGTTCTGTCTGATAACTTCCATGTTACATCTGTCTTTGCCACAAAAAAAAAACCCTGTGCTTTGGGGGACCCAAGGTAGCTCTGAACAGAGATAATCAGTCACCGTGCTCTACAGTGTGATTCATTTTCGCCCCTTCACTCTTCCCCCAATTCACTTCTCTCCCCTTTGCTAATACCAATCTTTGACATTTCCCATGGTTTTATGGGGGCTACTTCCATTATACCAGGTCGACAAGAACTGCCTATATTTGGGATTGTGCATCAGTTCCATAAATTCAGGTCTCATGCAACCATTTATTACTTCTCCAGTAAAAAGCATTCTGTTTCTTTGATTATTCCAGCTTTCCACCCATAGCGGGCTGCAGCACTGTGCTAGCGTGCTGTCTGTCAGGTCACCCGCACAACACGCCCTCTCACAGCACCCCTATAGGCTACAGGTTTTGAATCACACAGAGAGCTAGCGGCCTATGTAAAACACAGCTCCCCAGAATCACAGACACCTTGTTTGGGAGTGACCTCTGGAGGTCACCTAGTCCCACCCCATGTTCCAAGCGGGACTAACTGCCAACGCTGCATTAGGTCAGTTATGATTCTGGCTGAATTTTGAAAACTTCTAAGGGTAGAGATTCCACTTTTCTGGGCAGCCTCTTCCATCCAGAAGAACTTCTCCACTAGCGTCAAAACTGAGTTTATCAGGCTGCACTCAGTGGATTTTGCCTCCTGTTGTACAGTCTTCTGCTGCCTAGAAGAGTTTGGCTCAAGTAGGCTGCTATTAGGTCACTCCATAGCCTCCTTTTTGCCATAATAAGCAACCCAAGCTCCTTTTACTGCTCCCTGTAGGTTTCAGTTTAAACTCTCTCCCAGCATTCCAAGTTTAATAAAATAGTAGGGTTATGAGAAAATATAAATAAAGATTGCAAGAGATTCTATGTTTCATTTCAAGCAGTTTCAGGACTGCAATTCAAAACTTCAGAATTTGAGGAGTTATGTTCTAAACACTTCACTCAATAAATCACTCAAACCATATCCCCTCCTCAAGCCAGGTAAAAAGTTACCCCTTACACCTACAATCCAAAAAGGTTAGGAATACAAAGAAACAGAGTATCAAGGGGTTTTGCTGTTGTCATTTTCTCCAAAACTTTCCTGAAAAACCTAAAAGCAGTTGCATGGAGCAACTTAAATTACCATCTGGAACAGTGTCCTGCTCTGACAGTGGCCAATAGCAGGTGCCTAGAGAAGTATAAGAGAAGAGAGAAAGCATGCAAGGATATTCCCCAAGTACTTTGCCAGACTTCAGTGACTTGTGGTCCAGGGACATGCCAAACAGAGGTTTTGTCTTTTACAAGTTCAGGCGAACTCCAAGTACCCACAAGTTCCCGAGACTTCCAAAATTGAACTGTAAGTTGTGCAAAAAAAAGCCTTAAAGGTCCTGTTGCAGTAACCCAGATTTTCAAAACTTCCACAGCTGATTTGATAAGTACAAATACAATAGATTCTGCAGTGCATTGTCACAGATGACTACTGCATTTACAAACAAAAGCAAATTCTTCATGTAAAAAAAGCAAGGGTCTACCGGTATCACATAAAAATTCACACTAAATTGTGTACCATTAAAGAAAAAAAAAGAAAGAAAAAAGATACAAGCTCAGAAAGTAAAAAGTGATGCATTAGAACAGAGGTATGATTAGTTCACTGAATTCTTGCTTGCTCCACTGCACATTCTCCTCTGCAAACTTAAAGAGCTTTTGGAAGCCAAACACTTGGCGACAGAGGTCCTGCATTAATTTGTGTCAAATACTGGGAGGTCTGCTGTATCACTAGACCATCAAGAACCTTACACAATTACACAGTTTTTTTACTCTACCTTCCACTTCTTCCTATATCCTTAGTGTTACATCTTTGTCCCATTCTTTCTTTTTCCTTCAAAAGTACTCCTCAGCTGAGGACAGCAATGCCATACAAGAGCAGTGAGCAGCCTGCTCAAGCTGTGAATGATTGCTGAAGAAAGAGGACAGGATCAGACACCCAGATGTGTCTTATCCAGAACGATACGTATCATGGCAAATGTGCTTATTCCGATAACTCATCCAAGGCTGACTACATGCACTGTGACCCAAGACAATCTCCATTTGGCCTCCTATTTTACTGCTCCTACCTCACTTCCACTTAATTTCAGTCTTTCATCAAGCATAAAAAGCAATCGCAGTAACCAGCCAAAGATTTATGACCTTTTCTCACCTACGAGACTGTAGGTGAGAGACACTACTTGGAAACAGACAGTGTTTCCGAGACTTGAACAGTATTTGACCATTCATTTTTGTATGGCAACAGGATCACATTGTGACTATTGACTCTGTAGCCACCTATTCCACCCATAGACCTTCACAGCAATCCCTTTAAGCGACGACAAGGTCTGAAAAATACCCAATAGCCGCATAAAGACGGGCCTTCTAACTGACAAATATGGACAAAACAGAAACCTCTTACTTCCTCACCTAAAGCATAGACACACACCTCTCTGAACTGTGCATGCTATGGAATAAACTCTCAGATCTAACATGCCCAAAGGAATTCACAAGAAGCCCCACCAAATTCAAGCAAGCTCTTGCTCCAGTACATAATGCCACCCTGCCTTCCCCTCCCCAATTACACTTAAGCTTCTAGAAGTTCTCTTTATTTGCAGTAAAGGGTAAGGAAAAGCTTAAATGATGAAATCCACAAAGCTGCAGAAATTACTTTTTTCCTCAAGTGCCCAATTCTCAGATTCTGAATTCAGTACATCTTTCTACCTCATCAATAACTCACAGCTCTGAGTTGTCTTGCCAAATTTGACAAAATACATTTATTCAAGCGGCAGGCCAATAACAGGGCTAGAAATGTCCTGCCTACTGCCTTTGTGAAACTAATCTCCAAACCTGTCAAACGCAGAAGAAATGAAATGGAAGAATATAAGAAGAATCTGCACATTCCCTTGCTGGCTGCATAAAAGTCTCTTTGTAACACTTTGCTACATACTCAGTGAACGTTCATTCAAAAGCAGATGTCCCGCTACCCAACATGTAGTGTGTATCCCCAAGAAAGCAACTTGCTAAAAGGAAACTAAATTATTTTTATAAACTTCTCACATTTTCAAGTGCATGAAAAACAACTCTTTTAGGTGTTATTTTCTGCTCATCTCATATGAAATACCAGGCTATCAAGTTTTGTTTGTTTGTTTGTTTTTTCAAATGTTTTTGTTTGAGGACATACAGTTGAAAGTACTCTTGAAGGAAATTACAGTCCATATTACTTTTAGTTACAGACACAGTTTTCAGATCCTTACCCTTGGATAACAGCAAATAATAAAAAGCCACTTCCTTGCTCCAGCCAAGCTTTTTATTTCTTTCTAGAATATAATTTGAGTGTATCCAGTGTGAACTGGAGTGAGTGCATATGCTAAGTAACTCAAGAATACCCCACAAAAGCTCAGGATCATGCTGGAGCCCACAGTTAACAGAACACAGGACCTCAATGCAACACAAAAACAACAGAAAAAAATGCATCATTTCTAACAACAGGAGAGCTGACCAGTAAATACAGAATTCATTCACTACTGCATACATAAATAGTTTTCAAGAAGTCACTGCACTGTTGTTAGAAGAGAGATCAAAGATATATCCATTTACTGTTCTAATACAAAAAATCACAAGAACGGTGTACCTTTGGCAGTAGGCTATTAAGCGTCTGTGAGTATTGGTCCAAATTACTGATTCATAAGAAACAAAAATTTAAAACTAGATGGTATATTTTAGGTGGGTGCATGTGCTCAGCCTTCATGGTTATTAACAGCCACCACTCAAGCACACGAAGAAAAATGCAGCTCTTAAATACCTATTTTTCAAAACAGCATGGAGTATCTCACCTTGTCCATTTCACTTATACAGTGCATATCAGCTTCAAGTCCATGGGCACCTGCTTGCTGCCATATTTCCTCAGCTATGGCTTTTGCCTGCCCCTTTTGTGTTGCATAGAGGAGCAAAAACCTCCTTTTTAAATCACAGCACATTTCCCAAAATGGACCACTTTTTTTTTTTAAAGACACTGCAGGGGTAAAAAGAAGGAAAAAAAAAAAGTGAATTTATTGCATGCAGAACAGGAAGATTTTGCTTTGCTCATTAGATTAAAAAGAGATACTTTAAAGGATAGCAGTATTGGTGTTTAACTTAGAAATGAGGCATCTACTCTGAAGAGAAGCCATTTCGCACAACCAAGCTTTGTAGGCCAGGTTGCGAAGGACTCGTGGTATTGGTCATATGTGCTGTACTGCCTTGATGTTGCAGTAATATTGCAATATCCCCAGTATAAAGAATCTAGTTTGTAAACAATACAATAGGGAAACTAGTTTCATGAAAATATATACCATTTTTACTACCTAAGTTATATTTTCCACTTTAGGTCAGTACTGCTTTGGTCACTTTTCTGAGATGTATTTGAAAACAAAACAAAGCAAAGCAAAACAAAGCAAAGCAAAACAAAGAGCACAATGCCTGAGGACCTGGTGAAGTCAAACTACAATGCCTGAGGGAAAAAAAAAATAGAATTCTCAGTTTCTTCTTTTCTGAAATCAGTATTTTTTGCCTGAATGCCTTTACGATTTACTGTCCACTATGTCTATATTTTAGAACACAAACATTGTTTTTAATTTCATCTTTCAAAAAGGAGCTTTGTACACAAGTGCAACTACAGAATTGACTGTTTGGGGTTTTTTCTCCTAAAAATAAGAAACCGTCTTAGAAAAATCTGCTGTAGTGTAAAATGCCACTCCCTCACAAAGTCTTGCAAGCAGTAGGATGAATGAGATGCAGATCCTTATCCATTCACCTGTCCTATAGAAGTCTGAATGCGAGAAGTTTTCTTTCATGATTTTTACACAGACAGAACACAACAGATTTAAGTACAACTTCAAGGAGCTGAATAAGAGAGACAAGCAGAATGTCTCTCATGCATATATTACAAATTAATCCTCTGTCAGTATTTTGTTGCTGCTAGGGAGCTGCAGTAGAACTCAAATATCTAGAATTACAACTGAGTAATTTTCAGTTCCCAACTTGAAATTTTTTTCATGTGCTTGGGCCCAGTTTGCTGTACTTCACCTATTGCTCCCACACAGATTCAACTACAGAAAGCATTCAGTGTCCTAGCCACACACACTGACTTATGGAAACCTGTGGCTAAGTAATTTGAGGCATATCATTTTCCTGTTTCTCTCAAGGGAAAACAAACATAGTTCAACTGCATAAGAATACTACTGCACCCTATTGATACGGCATGGTATTTCTCCCCACAGTATTGTGGAAGGTTTCTCCTATTAGAATTTTTTTTTTTCCAAAGCATACTTGTAAATCAAAAGTGGTAAAACTAAGTGATAGCTTCTTAAGAGTATAGTGCCTGTACCATACATGAACTCCATGAAAAATGTCATTATTAGAAAATATTAAGGCTTTCATTGTATTTTGTTCTACTACATTTTCCATTATAGTTTTCATTTTAAATTGATTACATTATATTACCTAAAATTATTAATAATTACACTTTAAATAAATTCATTTAAATAACTGGCTTCTTGTGCATGTGCACAGAGAAGATGCATACGCCAAAACAATCCACAAAATGATTTTTCACCCTCCTTTTCCAAAAGAAATACAAAGAAATTTGATGACACACAAATTATGATGATTCATATGAAATAGTTTAAATACAGTTTAAATACCCTCAGATCCCTGCAGTAATACAGATTCATCCTAGTCACATGCTATGTTTTCACCCTAATTGTTCTCTTGTCAGCAGGTGGCAATGCCTGACTATAAATGGAGTAAAACAATAAAGATGAAGCGGCTTTTCATTACTACATTCTTCCTCATACCTCAGAAAGGGAGAAAGATAATCAGTTTTCCACTGGGACCACGCCATAGCACAGAAGCCTTCTATATGCAAAAAGCTGAGGGGTACGCTGCCAACATTATAGCCATGGGATTACCAACAGGCTTCAAATGAAAGAGTCAGCTTGGGAAGATGTATACGAGAAGCATGAAAATTTGCAATAGTAGGGTGAGAGGAGAGGGTAACAGAAAGAACAGCAGTCACAATGTGGTTTGACATGGCCAGATGTTGCCCTAACAGCACTGTGACCTCTGCCTAGGCCAGGCAGAGCAGCCTCCCCATAAGACACTGTGAGCTGCTTCCGCTCCAGCTAGTACAGTAACAATAAAGGGTGCAAAAAGTAGCTACCCACATCTTGGGTGCACGTATGTGAACTTGCGGGGAACTTTCTCACTGGTGTGTGGACTAGCAGACTGCATAGAGACACAAAAGTTAGAGCAACCACATCTCCCACAAAAGGTGTGTGTGAACAAGAGAACCCACGTGGCTGGAAGAGTGGATCGTGCTTGAGATGCATACCTCCTGAGAAAGGGGATTGTGTGTGTATGTAAGAGTGCGAATGTGTGCTTGTGGGAAGGGGGGAGGCCACAATTAGACAATTCCTTGGAATTAGATATAGAAGGCTGTTTAAATATTTGTAGGCGTTTATTAACATTTTTTAAGTGCCTAGTATCGTATCTTTTGCGTTGTTGCTATTGATCTTGAATATATAGTTCAATTAACTGATTAAACAGTAGTTAAATTAACTGCCTGACAGTTAATTAATAGATCAATAAACTCCTTTGATCCTGATTCGATCTAAACTACACAAGTTGAAGAGTTTCTCCCTGCGAGAGGATCTTCTCTCTATCATCAACCGGAAGAGCTTCTCCATGCACAAACTGATCAAGTGATGCCTGCTAAAAGAAAGGAAAATTAGCCATGCCTACCTGCAGATGAACACAATCATAAACTAGGAACACACTTGCACTCAGATGAACATACTGCCCACATTGCTCTTGCTTTGCTGCACTATACACTCTTCAAAGAGGATATGCCACTTCCACTTATGTGATATGAGTTCAACTGAAATAAAGAGGGGAAAAAATGGTAATTCTTGACTATTGAGCTTTCTAGAGAATCCCTCTAACTTTAATAGTATTACCACACCAGCAGCCTTTAACACGTTGACATGTTGGCAGTCACACGTCAAAAACCAAAACAATGTGTAAGCTAGGAAAACAACCCAGGATTTGCTGGCTCAAACCAGCGCTTAACATGAAACTAAGGATGAAATTCCAAATTACAGCTCGTCTGATCCAGTACTCAGAAAAGTCAGAAAACTAACAGTCCACAAAAGATTAACAGGGAGTCCATCAGCTCCATAAGTCAACACGCTGTAGAAGCAAACAAGCCATCTATGAATGCCAGCCACACAGTTCCTCTGAACCAGATGTGCTGGCCCTAGCAATTACGTAGCTGTACTGTGAGGCCAGACTACCTACTTCGTGTACCTGGTCTACCAAAAATGTCAAACTGCGTGGCCATGGACAGGATAAAAACGCAAGAAACTTCTGCAGTAGCTTTACACACTTCTGTGTGGCTTTAAACCGGTTTGTGGGACCGTGCCTTCAGAGCCATGATACCATTCCCATATCATTTTTTCAACAGTTAGCGACTTGCTTAGAATCACTTTCACTCTATGACCAAGACAAATATAAAAACCATAAAATCGCCAATGAAGCCCGCATGTGAAACCCTCCACGGCCCAAGGCTGACCTTCCGTCCACAAAAATTTGGTTGGACCAACCGACACCCCGCTGGGAAGGGAGAGAGCTGTCCCTGAAGAAGGACGGTGATTTTAGGGAGCTAAAGCCAGGTCCGCACCGGAGGCTTGAAGGCCGCGCACCAACAGAAGCCTCCCAGAGAGCCGGCGCCGCCGGGCCGCACCTCGCCTCCCGCCCGGCCCCCCCGCTGTCCCTCAGAGCGCGTACCCCCCGCCAGCCTGCCGGGAGCGGGAGTGAAAT